AGCAGTGCCACACCCCTCATCCCACCCCAGCCCCCACGGTGAGTGAGCCCAGCTGGAAGCCAGAAGTATGGAGAACCGTCAGACACTAAACACAGCTCTGCCAGATCCAGCTTGACGTGGAGGGGGCGGTAAGCTAGACAGGCATGGGGCTGGCTGTGTCCCGAGACTGCTCCTCCAGCCCCGACTTCAGGCCCTGGGCCCAGTCGGTCCCCAGAACTTCACAGTTGGGCAGCATTTCCTCCACCAAGATCTGAGTGAGGCCTGGGTTGGACACGGCAGGGAGGTCTGAGATGTCCAGCCTGCGGAGGTTCCTGGGGGACAGGAGGGGAGGCTGGCATAAGGACAGCGTCTGTGTGTGAGCGTGTGCACCCATTCAATCCTTAGATTCCTAAAATAAAAATCTAACTGTCCAGGAGACATTAGAGCTGTCCAGCCACATGAAATCCACTGTGTTAATTGCAAATAGACACCTCTGGCTCCTATAGTTCTGGAACAGTATAAAAATCATGGAGTTTTCATTAAAACCAAAAGGAAGAAAAACTAGCCCTTTCATTCCCCCAGGATCTCACTGCCACTGCTCACTGTGCTTACCCACCACAAACGCTAGGTTTGCCATGGAGGCAGGGAGGCGGGGCCTACCAGCTGCCCCCTCCCACTGTCCCCTGAGTTGGCTGGGAGCCCCACCCTGGCTCAGGGCCCAGGCTGAGCTGAGGTCTCACTGGAGGTGGTGGAGACAGGCGAGGCCCCGTTCAGAGATTTGGGGGCAACCGGCCAACGAGAGCTCCTGCAATGAGTCGGCCAGCTGGTAGAGGCGGCTGAGACACCAGTCATCCACATGGGGACAGCGCTGCAGCGACAGGGACTGGAGCTCCTTCAGGGCCACTGCAGGGGGGAGAGGGGGACTGAGCCCACCCTGAAAGAGAAAGTGGAGAGCCTTGCCCGCTCTACCCACCCTGCCCCGCCCCACTTACAGAGGTTGTCCAGGCCTTGGTAGTTGATGGCACAGTCACTGGCATCGACAGCCTCTACGGGTACCGCTTGGAAATGCAAGAACTCCAGAGTGGAGTGGCCACGCCCATTTGACCGGATCCACTCCTTGCCCCGGAACCTGGACAGGGAGAGAGGGAGTGTCAGCAGGTACCCTCCCCTCCCCAGGCCTCCAAACTCGAACATGCTCCCCAGCCCTGTATGACACAGAGATGGTACATGTCTGTGCACTTACTATACATCAGGCCCTGTTCTAAGGGCTTTACAAGTCTGGTCTCATTGGACCCCCTGACAATCCCATCAAAGATGGAATGTTTGGCCAGTTTTACAAACCTGGAAGCTGAGGGCTGAGAGGTTCCTGATAAGAGGAAAAAAGCTATATAAGACAAGAATCTTTGCAGATAGGTTAAAGTTGAGACATTTTCAGACATGTACACTGTTTGTCAGGAAGGTGCTGGAGGAAGTGCTCAAACCAAGTAAAATTCTAAATTGGAACAAAGATGAGAGTTAGATGAAGTCTATATGAATTGCATTTAAAAAAAAAAAAAAAAATCTACGGCCATGCCACCCTGAACAAGCCTGATCCTGTCTGATCTTGGAAGCTAAGCTGGATTCGGGCCTGGTTAGTACTTGGATGGGAGACCACCTAGGAAGACTAGGTGCTGTAGGTGAAAAAATAAAAATAAGGGGTTGTAAGCTGACAAGGTCCTTGCAATCTGTGAGGTCAACAAAGGGTTGCCTTGCCTGAAAAAAAATAAAAAAGGGAAAAAAATGGGGAAGGAAGAAAAGAAACATTTATTGAGCACATGTGCTATGCCAGGCCTTGCTGTGTTTAGATCGTAAAATGTGTTTGTAGGTTAGATACAATTACCATCCTCTTTTATAGATGATACAACTGAAGCTCAGGACCAAGCCCCAAGCCACAGCCTATAGGGGGCAGAGACCTGGAGACGCACAGGGAAGCCTGCCTGACCGAAGAGCCAGGGCCTTTAGAGACACATTCTAAGGTCCGTCATGGAGGTTGCCTCCCTTAACACCCCTTTTGACACCTTTGCTGTCATACTTGACTGCGCCTCCTTGCTTCAGGACGAAATAGGCGCCTGCGACGTATGGGCCGTATTGCTCCTTGATGTAGGTGAACGATCTGCCAAGAGAACAGCAGCTGAGGGTGAGGCTCGGGGAGTACCGCACCCACCTCCATACCCAGGTGCTGCTGAGAGGGTCAGAGTCCACAGCACCAGGACTGACAGGCACACAGACAGACAGACTGAGTCAGCCTGCAAATATTCACTGAGTACCATTAAGTACCAGGCACTGGGGGGCAGTGGTCCCTGGCAGATAACCGTCCCTGCCCTTGTGAAGTTATTTTACAGGGAGAAACAAAACTACTAAGTAACAGCAAATTGCAGAGAGTATCAATTCCATGACGAAAATAAAATATAGGTACTGACTAGGAGTGGCTTGGGTCAGGGGTGGGGATGGAGCAGGCTAATTTAGATTTGCTGTTAAGAAATGCTTCTTGGAGGAAAGTGACACTTATGCAGAGCTTTGAGCGGTGAGAAGGAATGCAGAGGTCAAGGCAAGAGCCTGCCAGGCCAAGGGAACAGCAAGTGCAAGGGTCAGAGGCTCAAATTAGGATGGTCCAACAAACAGCAATAAGGAAGCCATGTTGGCAGGGTAGGGGGAGTCCCCAGTAGGTCTGAAAGCTCAGTAGGGGCCAAGTTTTAGGTTTTGGAGTCTGGCTTTCATTCTAGTTGCAAACGGAAACCATTTGAGAGTTTAAACAAAGTGGTATTTTACTTTAAGAGTCATTTGGCCCATAATAGGGGGCAAAAAGCGACAAGTTAATTACTGCAGTAATCCAATCATAAAACAAAGTGGGGGCTCAGACCAGGCTACAAACAGTGGAGGAGTTGACACCTGGTCAGATTTGGGATATTCTAGTATTTTATTGATGGACTGGATATGAAGAGCAGAGAAGCAAAGAGGAGAATCAGGAATGACTCCTCAGAATATGGCCTGAACTGGGTGGGCAGTGGTGCTGTTTACTGGATGGAGAAGCCTCGGCGGTAAGCAGACTGTTTTACGGGGAAGTCATGGGTTTGCTGTTAGCCATGCTAGATTGGCGGTGCCAGCTAGACACCCCCAAGAAGAGATGGTGGGCGGCAGGTTGCCTATTGGAACTGGAGTCCTTCGGAAAGGGTGTGAGCTGGAAATGAAAACATAAGTTGGCAACTGGGGTATTGGAAGCCACAGTGCTGCCTGGGAGTGGCAAGGGCAGGATCTGGGTTCTCACTGGTGAGGCCTCAGCAGCAGGGTCTTTCAGGCCAGGGATTCTCACCGATTTTTCTGGTGCACCTTTGACATCTGCTTTCGGAACAGGTAATCCCTCAGAGCCTCCACGTCATAGAAGCGGTCAGCCAGAAACTGGAGAAGTAACCCCCCTTTCCTCTGATTGCCTTCCGGGGCCACTGTACTCATGCCACGGATGCCCAGGGTACTCCCATTCCGTACTGGCGCCACCAGGTGAAGGGACTGGGGAGGAGGAGAGAAGAGGAGGGGCTGAGTCTGGAGCCTCCTGTGAAAGACAGAGCTGGATCCCTGTGTTCTGGTCCGTGAACCCCCATTCACCTCTCCGCACCTGCCGCCCTCCCCATGCGCGGAACGCACTCCCTGATTCCCTGTTGATTTCTCTCCGCTAAATCCCCGCCCCCTCTTCCTCTCTGATGCTCCTCTGCAGCCTGCGACCCACACCCGTCCTTCCTGGCCCCCAACAGCCACATGTCTACACTGCCAGCGCGAGGCCTAGAGGGAGAGGCCTCCTGCGCCGCCACGCTCCTTGCTCCCTGGGCGCCGATAGAGGCTCTGAAGGCAGAGGCAGCAGAGCGGACTTCAATTTGCGGGTCCCGGTCACTTACTGCCCTGGGCGCGGCCATCTTGCTAGTGTTACGTCACCGGAAGGGGCCGGTCCTTTCTTAACCCGCCCACCCGGCTCTGTATTGTAGTTTTCTTACCGTCAGGCCGCCTCCGTTTTCCAACCTTCCTCTTAAAGGCGCACACACCTTTTACTCTTTTTGGGTTTAGGAATTGCTCAGAGCGCCCTCTCCCTTGGGCCTTAAAATGGGACTCTGTAGCCTGTCCTTAGGAAAGGACAGGTTCTTCCTGTTAGAGTACCTTTCTTTCCCTCTGATGGCAGTCACAGTTCCCCTGAGCTGCCCTGTTCTCCAGTTCTCACTCGCTACCTCTTTAAGGGAATGATGTGACTGAAAAGCTGACCGTGGTCCTTTAAACCAGGGTCAGGGAAGGGAAACAAGTCCAGTGGGTGGTGAGTTTTTTTGAGACAGAGGTACCGTCTCAAGACTAGTCTTGTGCTGTGTTTGCGGTTTCAGTTTGGAGTTCAAGGCTAGATCTCAGCATGAAGATTCATTGTGAAGTCATGTGGATAGAATTATTCATTCATTCACTCTACAAATATTTACTGAGCACCTACGGTGTGGCAGGCGCTGCTCTGCGTGCTAAAGTTACCATGGTGAACAGGACAGACCCAGCCCCTCTTTCGGGGACTCAACATTCCAGGCAGGGAGGAGATGGATAAGAAACAATAAGCACGATAATTTAAGATAGTATTCGATAGGCAAATAAAACCAGGCAATATAATAGGGAGTGACTGGGGTTGTAGGGCCATCAACAAAAGCCTCTCTGAAGAGGTAACATTTAGGAAGAGGTGAAGGATAAGAAGGAAACAGCCATTCAAGGGTCTGGGGTAAAGAGTTCCAGGCAGAGGAACAGCCAGTGCAAAGGCCCAGAGGTGGGAACCATCTTGCAGAGAGAGGCGGGAGACGGGGTCAGAGAGGTGGGCAGGGAGCTGACTGCGTGGGGCTGGTAGGATTTTAATCCATTCACATGTCACTATCTGATTTACGTTTTGTAAGGTCATTTCTGCCAGGTTGAGAATGGACCTTAGAGGGCAAGATGGAAGCAGCGGGTAGCAATGAGGCTACTGCAGTTTTCCAGACAAGAGATGAATGCGGACAAGAGCAGAGACGGGACCATGAAAATGGTGAGAAGGGCTCGAATTATGAGTCTGTTTCGAAGTTTGAGGCAACAGCTCCAGAAACCAAAAGGATAGTGATGCCACTCAGAGAGATGGCGAAACTGGGGAAGTAGCAGTTTTGGAAGGGCAGGTGTGGTAGGCGGAATGTGCCTTCTACCCGCCTCACATGTCACTGAAACCTGTGAATATATTACTTTACACGGTAAAGGGAAAACATGATAAAGTTAGAAATCTTGAAATGGGGAGATGATTCTGGATAATCAAGATTGGCCCTATGTAATCAATGAAGGTCTCATAAGATGGAGGCAGGAGAGTCAGGCAGTACGGGATGTGATGGTAGGTGCAAGAGGCTGGAGTGATACAAGCAAGGGGCTGTGAGCCAATGAGTGCGGGTGGCTTCTAGAAGCTGGGTTAGGCTAGGAAATAGGTTCTCCCCTAGAGCCTCCGGAAGGAACCCAGCCCTGTGCACCCACTTCAGACTTCCGACCTCCTGAACTGTAAGAGAATAACTTGGTGCTCTTTTAAGGCACTAAATTTGTGGTAATTTGCTACAGCAGCACCGGGGAACTAATACAGTGGGGTAGGTCCCAATGGAGAGCTGTGTTAGGGCCACATTTACCCTGAAATGCCTGAGAGAACCAGATGGAGATGCTGAGTGGGGGTCTGGAGCTCAGGAAGGAAGTCAGAACTAGAGTCTGAGACTTAGGAGCCATTGACACACAAATGGAGGCTGAACACCCTGGGCCTGATGGAGGGCCTCCAGCAGAGGGACACCACAGTGCGTCCATCCTTTTCCCTGGCAGGGCCCACGCTGATAGTGACAATGTCTGTGGGCAACTCTAGGGAGCAGAATTGGCTGCTCAGCTACGGGCCAGCAGCCTGGACACTGAGGTGTCCTGGCTGAGGGATTGTTCTCTTGAGAGCCACTCCTGGCTCCTCAGGCCCACTGGTGAGGGAGCCCTGGGATGGCCTGAGTGGATAAGACAGGCAAGGACCACGGTGGGCAGTGGTGAGAAGCGGAGGAAGGGACCCAGGAGAGGGCAGGATGAGGACAGATACAGAGCACAGTGAGGGGTGGAGTTTGACCTTCACCAAAGGGGCTGCAGTTGGCCCCTTGTGAGCAGAGTTGAGGTTGGACTTCAGAAAGAAAGAAGGAAAAAGAACCACGCACATGAGGCTGCTGATTCTCACTGGAGAATGGACTTTGGGACGACATCTCAGACCCTGCCCCGCTCTTTCCGCTGCCCTTTACTCCTCCCACCCCTCAGATCCCCAGGGGGCTGGGTCACTCTGGACCTTGCTACTTCCTGCTCCTGGCAGCCACTGCTCAGAAACTATGGAGCTGTGGAGGCAGCTGAGGCAGGCTGGACTGCTGCCCCCGGGGCTGGGCCCACCCCCTCAGGCCCTGAGAGGCGTCCCCCCAGCAGGGAGAGCTGGCAAGACCCTGGTGTCCCTAGGGGCAGACACTGGAGGTGCCAGGGAAAGTCTGCTGTGGATCTGGGAGGAGCTGGTGAGTGAGGGGTTTGGAGGGGCAAGAGATAGGGTTGGGGCGGGGAGAGAATGAATGACTGACTGACTGAATGAATGAATGAGTGGGAATGAATGGAAATAGAAAGGACCAGAGACTGAAAGACAGGAATTGAGAGATGGGAATAGAGAAATAGAGGCAGAAATAGATAGATAGATAGATAGATAGATAGATAGATAGATAGATAGGTAGATAGGCAGGCCAGGGTGATCAGACATCACCTGGGAGCTGGTGGAGGGTGAGGAACCTGACCAGGTAAGACGGGAGAGTATTCAGGTGTAGAAGATGGAGGTTCTTGCTAAAATTGAATTTTACAGGGACATGCACAGATGGGCCTAGGAGAAGGTTCAGGAGCCTGACAAAAGTTCGGTCAAGCAAAGAATTTTTGTCAAGATTTGAGCTGGGACTTGCTCCCACACAGGTTGTGGGGGCCCTTGCCCTCTGGGGTGCGAGGCCCTGACTCCCGCTTCCCTCCTGCAGGAGAACCTCCGTAGAGTGGATGTCCAGCTGTTAGGCCAGCTGTGCAGCCTGGGGCTGGAGATGGGGGCGCTGCGGGAGGAACTGGTCACCTTTCTGGAGGAGGAGGAGGAGGAGGAGGAGGAGGAAGATGGGGGCGCTGCGGGAGGAACTGGTCACCTTTCTGGAGGAGGAGGAGAAAGATGAGGAAGATGAGGAAGATGAAGAGCCCTCTGGGAAGCAGGAGGAAGGACACGTCGGGGCCTCCTGCTCAACTTCCAGCCTAGGCCTCCCGGACTTTGAGATGACTATCTGAGGCCTTCTAGGTGTGCTTCCCATTGGCACATGAATGAGATGCAAATTTATGCAAAGAAGAGGGGATTTGCAGGTCAGATCAACCCACCAATGGAGAAAAGCACTTGAGCAAGTGCTTTTCTCTGAAGTTGTCTGCGATGAGATTCAGGGTTTGACCTGTGAGCTGTGGGCTTGTTTGAAGATGATGTGGGAAGTTTGCAGAGAAACTGTGGGTGTATTTGCAGAAGAGCTGTAGGTGTATTGCAGGGGGAGATGTGGGTCTTTGCAAATAGGACAGAGGTGAGTGCAGATGAAGTTTTAGATCAAGGCCATACACTGGCCAAACGTGGCTTTCGAGCACTTGAACTTGGCTAGCCCCAATTGAGGTACAGTGTGAGTGTAACGTGCAGGCTAAATGCTGAATTTCAAAGGCTTAGTATGAGAGCAAACATTTCAATAATCTTGAAAATTAATTACATATTGACATGATAATATTTTGAATATAGAGGGATACATAAAATATTACTAAAACTAATTTCGCCTGTTTAAGATTTTTTTTTTTTTACCGTGGTAAAATATACATAACACTAAAATTAACCATTTTATTTTTAAGTGTACAGTTCAGTAGTGTTAGTTAAGTACATTCACATGGTTGGGCGACCATCGCCGCCATCCACTCCAGAGCTCTTTTCATTTTGCAGAACTGAAACTCTCCCCACTAAACGACTCCCCGTTCGCCTCCGGCCTGTTTAAGATGCAACCGCCCCCGGCAACCGCCCCCGGCAACCGCCTTTCTAGGTCTCTCTATACATTTGACCACTCTAGGAACCGGATACAAGTGGAATCACATAGCATTTGTCCTTTCGCGTCTGGCTTATTTCACGTAGAATAATGTTTCAGGGTTCGTCCATGTCATAGCATGTGTCAGAATTTTCTTTTCTTTTCTTTTTTTAGACGGAATACTATCCCCTTGTGTGTATATTCCACATTTTGCTGATCCATTCTTCTGTCCATGGACACTTGGCTATTATGAATAACACTGCTATGAACACGGGTGTATAAATATCTGTTCCAGTCCCTACTTTCAATTCTTTTGGGTGTAGACACAGAAGTGGGATTGCTAGATCAGATGGTGATTCTATTTTTAATTTTTTTCGGAACCACCGGACTTGTCTTCCACGGCGACAGTACCATTTGGCCTTCCCACCGAACAGTGCACAGGGGTTTCAACTTCTCCACATCCATGCCGACGCTTATTATTTCCTTTTTTCCATTTTTTTCTTTTTCTTTTTCACGATAGCCATCCTAATGGGTGTCAGGTGGTATCTCCTTGTGGCTTTGATTTGCATTTCCCTAATGATTAAAGACGTAGAGCATCTTTTCAAGTGCCATACATCTGTTTCTTCTTATATTTTAAAATACGACTACAAGAAAATTGAAAATCACGTGTGTAGATCTCATTGTGTTTCTTCTGTTGCACAGCACTATTTCAGAGGTGTGACAACAGAATGTGGGTGTGAGCAGATGAGCAGGCGGGTTTACAGAAGTTCCCCGACGTGCTGCAAATGTGTCACAGCGCCACCTGCAGGAGACAGGCGGGTATCTGCGATGGTGGCTGAGGAGAAGCGGAGCTGCAGGTGTCACTATTGCCCAGGTTGACATTTGCAGAAACGATGCCCAAGACAGCAGGTGGAGAGCTCTGACCTGAGGAAGGACATTTCTTCAGGGGTGACATTTGGGAATTCACAAAACTAGACACGCTTACATTTTGCAATTCTCCATCAAATACTTTCCAGTGAGGGGGTGACAATGTCCCCAGAGAAGTGAGGTGTTGGCAGAAGAGGCGCTCATCCCTGTCCTTGGGGATTTCCTCCTCAAAGGCAAGTATAGTGGAGTCCCCCAAGACTGATGGGTGCAGGGGTGGTTGGAGTTCAGGTTTCACCCCCAACCTAGTCCTTTTAGCCAACCTTAGTCAGATCTGTGGCTGCTGGGAGCTCTGCTGGGGGCAGCTGGGGATATTGCTGAGAGTCAGACCCCAGCACCCAGGGAAGGATGAGAGACACCCCAAGAGCATGCGAATGAGCAGAGACTCTAGAAAGAGTCTGGGGCAGTCTGGGTATCTTGGAAACTACATCCAGGCTGAGGGAGTCGCGAGGGCTGGGGAGATGGGGCTCCATGACCACAGGGTCTGGGCCATGCTTCATGAATGCCAAAGTATTCTGTCTCCTGGTGGAGAAGAGGTTGGGGTTTGGAGAGAGGCACTGAGGGGAGACTGGAGGGGACAACTTGGGAGGGAATGTTCATTGTGCAAGAACAACTTGGCAGGTGGCCCCCAATGTCTGGGTGGGGGTTGCTCTGAGCCATGCCTGGACCATGGAGGTGACACCGATGGGGGTGGCACTCAGAGAACCTGGGCGGATGTGGCCAGCCCCGCCTGTACTGTCCTTAGTGCCAATTTTACCGAGCTAGATCTGGCGATGGCCAAGTCAGCCCCCGGCCTGTCCCCTTGGAGAGCTCTCAGCCCAACAGAGCGGGGAGAAAACTCTCACCACACAGGGACAGCTGAGCTGACCAAGGCTGGGATGGCGGAAGAACAGGTGGCTCAGGGGGCTCAGGTAAGGCAACAGGCCCAGGCTGACACATCAGGAAAGTGTTCTTAGGGCAGAACTGAAGGAGTAAGTAAAAATGAGCCAAGCAAAGAAAGAATGGGAAGAGTACAAGCAGAGAAACAGCCTGTGCGAAAGGCCTGAGATGAGCTAGTGATCTGCTCCCTTGCTACTCAAAGTGAGGTCCGTAAACTAACGGTATCAGCTTGGCTACAGCTATCTGCTGATGCATAACAAACAGCCCCCAAACTCCGTTGTTTTAAAACAATGACAGCATGTGTTTTGCTCAGGAATCTGCAATCTGCAGCAATGGCTCATCTTTGCTCCACGATGAGCTACTGCAGAATCATCCAAAGGGACATTCGCTCACATGTCCGGCAGTTGATGCCGGCTTTTGGCTGGGGGCCTCTGTTCCTCTCCATATCCTCTCCCCGTGTGGGCTAGATTGGGCTTTCACAGAGTGTGGAGGGTGGATTCCAAAGGCAAGTGTCTCAAAGAAGAGCCGGGCAGGAACCACATCACCTCGTCTGACTTAGCCTCAGAAGTCATGCAGTCGCTCTTGTCACATTCCATTCATTAAGGCAACTGCAAAATCCTGCCCGGGTTCAAGTCAAGGGGAAATAGGCTCCACCTCTTTCTGGGGGAGTGCAAGGTTCCGGAAGCATGTGGAGCAGGAAGTACAGCTGTGGTCATGTTGGGAAAACACAAACTGCCATAGCATCATCGCCTGGCAGCGTGGCCAGCCTGCTGATTCTCAGGTCCCGCCCTGGATCTACCAAATCGGAGTCTGCGTTTAGCAAGATTCTAAGGTGCTTCCTTTGCATATTCGGTTTGAGAAGCATTGTTCTAAATCACAGAGATGGCACTGCTTTGAGCAGGAGAGGACACGAGTGAAGCTCAGAAAGCTCCCTCTGGCTGCTGTGTGGAGGATGGACCAGAAGGGTCTACAGTGGTGGCTGGCTACAAGCAACCAAAGGAAAAAGTAGATAAATTGGAACTCATCAAAATTAAGCGCTTTTGTGCATCAAAATGTACTATCAAAAGTGAAAAGAGCCCACAGAGTGGGGAAAATATTTATAAAAATATATCTGACGAAGGTCATCATGTATATAGTGTCAGAATATATAACAACTCATACAGCAGTAAAAAGACAGTCTAATTAAAAAAATGACCAAAGCAGACAAATAGAAATTTCTCCAAAGGAGATACACCAATGGCCAATAAGTACACGCAAAGCTGTTCAACATCATTCACCACCAGGAAGATGCAAGTTAAAACACAATGATAAATAAATAAATAATTAAAAGATAAAAAATAAAAATTAAAAATTAAAAACGAATATTAAGAACTGTTCTTTACAATAGCCACTTCCATCCCCAATAAAATCCAAACACCAGATTGGCTGATCTAAATTAAAAAAAAAAAAACCACAATGAGATACCACTTCATCCCCACAATGATCCGAAAAATGGAAAATAACAAGAGTTCGTGAAGACGCGGAGAAACAATGTAAAATGGGGCTGCTGCCGTCTGGCAGTTTCTCATAAAATTAAAGCTAAAGTTATCGTGTAATCCAGCATTTCTCCTCCTACGG